ATGACAACTTTTGTGTTTGTTACTTAACAAATGGTAAAAGAGTAAAAGAACATGTAAAGTTATTATCGCCCGGAAGTTGGATATGGATATTATACATATTCAACTTGGAAATTAGAGAACTAAACAGAGGGCTTGGTGGAGATTTGGTCAATGCATCTACAATTGGACCCTTTCATGGAAAACGGGTTGGTTGTCATTGCCATTGCAGTTTTTGAATTTGTATAAACAATAGATGAGAATGAGTGTGGTATATGAAAATCATCAAACATGTACAATAGACACTGTAATTCACATAAGGTTGAAGCTGGTGCCCTATATTCTACATCAACAGAAGATCTACTAACTGTAGGTGGTTTCTTACATTTTCAGGATATAAGAGAAAAGCCAATAAATATAGTAAAACCATTTATGCTTTTTCTTTTGTCAAAGTAGCCAGCCCAATCACTATATGAATAAGCAATAACATTTAAAGATGAAGTTCTAGGAAAGAGAATACCTTGGCCTTCGGTACCCTTTATATACCTCAATACCATGTGTGCAACTTAAAGATGTGATGTAGTAGGCTTACTTAGAAACTGACTAAAACATTGAACACTATAAGCAATATCATGTCTAGATATGGTTAAGTATAAAAGTCTTCCTATAACCTTCTATATTCAGTAACCTCCATTAATGTATTAGAATCAGCATAGGATTATAATTTAGTGGTTGGATTCATTGGGGTGCAAGCAGGTTTACAACCTAGAAACCCTGTATCAGTTAAAATATCAAGTGCATATTTTCTGTTAAACAAATTAATGTCAGTTTCAGAGTGTGTAGGTTGTAGTCCTAGAATGTATTTAAGTTGACCAAGGTCTTTGATTGTAAAACAAGGATGCAAATGATTTTTTTATGTATGTTATGACAAACATTTGTTACCACATACTATTACATCATCAAAATAAACAAGATAAAGAGAGAAAAAAAAGATTATGTAGACATGGCGAATAATGACCAATCAACCACTGATTGTTTAAAACCATAAGTGATAAGGCAAGAAGTTTGATTTTGAAACCATAGTCGTGAGGCTTGTTTAAGGCTACAAAGACTTTTATAATGTTAAACCCTATTGTCAAATTCATTGCAATAACCAGGAGGTAGAGTCATATATACCTCTTCT